ACTATATATATATATATATATATATATATATATTTGGCTACACTATAGTGAGTACAGTAGCACTGATAAAGAATGCAGCTCATATAATTAGAAACAAATTTCACCTGTCATTTATTTATTGACTTTTTGCGATATTTAAAAAATTAAACCGTCAAAAGATGGCTGCGGATGGGAGCTTGGAGATTATTTCTCCCCCAATACACAAAGAGAAAACAAGAAAAATGACGATAAATGAATGTTTCAGAGCTGAACTAGAACACAGTATGAACCCAGACATTCAGCACAGTTATAATCAGAGAGTGTTTTATCTCTGCATGGCCCCAGTCTTGTTTACACACAAACACAGAGTTAATCTCCTCTTTTTTTTTAGGCATAGACTTAGGGTGGATTTATCTTTTTTTAATACATCCCAGCAAGAAGCCTGCCTTCCCTGTGAACCCAAACACACATTTTCTGATAAATGATCACATTGTGTGATGCTTCCTGCTGGTCAAACCTGTAAATGCACACACTGACATGGGAACAGCCTTCGAAACTTTAGATCTAACTTAGAAAAACTAGAGCAAAGAGTAAACAGATCACACTCAGCTGCACGTTATATGCCTGCCTGCGTTGGCTGCTTTCATTTCTTCCACATGACATTTTCAGGTGGCATTCAATCTGAGCTTTTAGGTACACGAGTTGTCTCGCTCTTTATTAAACCCCTGAGCTATCGCTGAGACTGTTTTTCCAGAGGCATCTATTTACAACAAATTATTCCTCTGAACCACTGACACGCTCCCAGTTGATCTCGGTGCTTCCTGATAAAACGTTCAATAAGCTGCTGTTGCCAAGCAGCAAATGTGATTGAGATTGAACCGTCGGAGAAGAGTTTCAGCAAAAAGGAAATAAAAAAATGAAAACTGGAATGGCTGCATTGTTGCATGATGGTTGCAGAACTTTCAATGTCACAATGTTGTTAAAAAAAAAAAAAAAGACTTGAACATCCCAGCAATGCAGAGCAACGAAGAAGTGGAAACACGTCCTGTCATTGCGAGCTGAGTTCTCAGATGATGACAAATGAAATCATAATACCCAGTGATGAGTAATCTGTGGGACACTGGTGCAGAAGTTCAGGCTGAAGGCAGAGCGATGCTGCTGTTGTTCCCCAGCTGGTAATCCGCACAGAGCTGAGATAAAAGGACTTCTCCAGTGAAGTGCCCGCAGTAAGATCAAGCCTTTTTGAGCAGGGAGTCAAACGTCACATTAAGTGCTGACACATAATAAATAATTCACCAATTTTCTTCCTGACCCAAAGCATTTGGCTTCTTTTTAATGTTTTTCCTGTACAATCTGTCACAAATCAATTTGGCTGGATGTGTAGAATGAGCGCTGAAAAGGTTGCCGTTTGCAGATGAGAACAGGGATAGGTCACTTCAGCTTATTTAATCAGCAGACTGGCACAACAGCATTAATCAGAGGTGTCAATCTGGAGCTGAGTCAAAACACAGCCTGACAACAAAGACATGTCCGGCTGCTGGCGAATGAAAAAATGTACGAAAACAAAGGACCCCGCCAGGCTGCCTGCTGCAGAATGATGATTGCCATCTGGATGGCAGCCATACACTTTAGACATTTGTTCTGCTCGTGAACAGAACATGACTGGATTTCTGGTTGGTTCATGCACTGCAGTAACACTTGACTTGCTGTCAGCTTTAGGATTTTGCAGCCAAATCACAAGAACACTGGATGGTAATCTCTTCTGAGATTTTCTGGACTTGACAAAAAGTGGATCTTTGAAGCAGTTTTTCCTCTTCATTTAAAGTTGCTTTCTTTTTTCTACTCCTCATAATTACCTCATAGCCTGAAAAGACACATTTATGAGTACATTTGTCTTCTTCTGATTGTATTGCCATAGATCTCTACTTGAATATGTTCAGAAAGTGTCTGAGTGTGAACAAAAGCATCAATGTTCTTTCTGTAGGCAAATGTCACATTAAAAAAGAAAAAAATATATATTTTTGACAACATTTCAAAGTTTGTTGAGGATGATTCAAGTGAAGTTTATGACTTAAAAGTCAAAAATACATCAGTAAAATGGTGCTTTTGGCTAAAGTTGAAATAAATTAGCAAAAAGGAAAATAAAACTTTCCAAATATAACTATGTACAGACTCTTCAATGTGAAGATAGATTGAAAAGGTCCCATAAAAAAAAAAAAACTGACTCGTGATTTAAATCGTAGCAATTTTCACAAACACATTGAAGCACTCACGACACAACATGCTGGAAGAAACAAGGCTTGGTGTGCGTCTTGTATCCAGAAACTTTTTTTTTTTTTTGGTCCAACATTTGGTCCAGTTTGATCATTCATACGATTGTCTGCTCTGTCACTTTCTTCTTCACTGGAGTGTGTTCGGTTTATTCAAAAACACATCGTCTTCCATTCATCTGTCAGCGCAGTGTTTGAAATCAAATCTTGTAAGCAGGGTTTTGGTGATTTTTTTGTCCATTAAGGTCAGAAATTTGCTTTTATTTCCCACAGTGTAGTTTTTTTTCTTTTTCCAGTTTTTATAGCAAATAATCCTGGTATATTAAATTTCAAGAGATGTTCCAATTTTAGTGGATGGATGCCATGAAGAATATGTCCAAGACAGATCCAGTCGGTCATTAAAACAACCAAAATGGTCATGAAAGGAAATGATCAAGATCTTCAGAACTGGTAAACGTAGGTTTCAGTGGCTCAAATAGAAGTGTGGAAGAACAACCCATTCCATCACACTGGTCACATTTTCATGCAGTGTCACGTCTCCGTGTGGCTACACAGATTCAGTAGGAGACTGGTCATCACCGTGGTGCCTCATTGACTGGACGCTTGTCAGGATTTTCTTCTGGTGTCCGGCAAGAGACACTCCAATCCTCTGCAGATCTCTGCAAAAACAGAGATACTGTATGAGTCATCTTCACACAGAAAGTTGCTGCTAACGGAATTATAATGACAATATTTGCCGATGGTCTTAATCATTGCTTGCTTTGGAATAAAAACATAAAAGATAAATCTACTTATCCATCTTTGAAATGAAGCTTTTTGTGTTTATTGATCCACTAGGACCTGATGTGCCGTTTTCCTTTTGAGTCTGAAGAATTGTGCACGTCATATTCACATTTTCTAAGTAAACCAAGATTTTTTTTCTCCTATTGATTTGTTTCCAAACAAAACCCTTTGAAATTCACATGACTTTTTAAAAAGCTTTTGGTTGGATCATGTTATAAAAGTGGAATTGAAAATATTAATGGGACATCTTAGGCATTTCATGCAAAACAAAACATGCCAACACATTTCAGGCGACATCATACTCGTTGCTTTATATTGGCCATGAACGTCTGTAACGTGGGCAGCTGCTTAAGAACCTAATTAAATACTCATGCCACGCTGAATTTATGTTGCAAAGAGAACAAATTAAAAACCCAAGGAATGAGGGTTCAGCCAGGTCGTCCAGTCGTTTTTCTCAGAGGAAGTCATTCTGTCTGTATGAAATATAAAATAGGGTTCACCGGCTCATATACCTTCTCTCCACCTTTGTCACACTGGTACGTTTAAAGGACATTTAATTAATGTCTTTTGATCCATGCACACTTTGCATTTTATCCATTTTAACCAATTAAGGACCAAATGACAGTCCCTGTTTAATGTATGGTGACCAGGTTCATATCTAATAACGGTGCCTTGTTCAAGAATTGTTTGCAGAAAGTAATAAAACTTTTTTTACTGACATTATTATGTAAACATAATTAACACTAGCATACAGTAAGCTGTAGAAGTTCCATGAGACTTTGGACAGCAAAACATCCTCCTGTTGTTAGTTTATCGCCTTGTTTCTGCACCGATGTTCATCCAGGACAGAGTGAGGATAGGTAGCTGTCCATTCTCCAATTTGGCGCTCTATGAGGCTCATGTACAGGGTGCTACCTCCCATCCCTTTGGTATTATATCTCTCTGTCCCCTGTCTGACAAAATATTCCCTTTTTGATGTAAATTGCCCCACTGTCTGAATCTGACTATCCACAGACCACATCCTTCACATGTACTTGACTGCCTTCATCCTAAAGAGCAAGATCTTGTTGTCCTGATCTGGGGGCTTCACAGTAGAGTTGCATTTGGACCCAAAAAATCTGATCCAACCTGGCCCCAGCCCGTAGCCATCATTTCCGAACCCCACCCGATCCGACAAAATAACAGTAATTACAGGTCCGAACACAAACCCCGACCCCCAGACATTTTTAATTAAGCTTTGACTGCTTATATAGTTACTAACGATCAGCGGATGCACGCGATTGAAAAAAAAAGGGGCAGAAGGTTGGAGCTGAGGGGGTGTTTGTCCTTTCATGGTCGTCAAAGTGCATCAAATCCCTCTCTGGCATGTCTGCTTTGGGATTTCACCTGTTTGGGTCGTAGGCCGCACGCGTCCGCTGAGTGCAGCGGCTGAATGAACATCCATTTGGGCTATGGATCGCTTCCTGTATAGTCCCATCTGAAGCTTAACTGAAGTTTATTTTACCTCTTTCAAGGCCGGTCAGCTTGCAGTGAAATGGCCGTGTGCAGCTGGTGAATGTATGGCAAGCCATGTTTCCATATAATTGGATTGCGGTTGATCTGCTGATGCAATCAAAAGCCAGACATTGACTTGGCCTGCCCATCCAGCACATTATCATGGCCCGGACCACCCTGAATTTTGATTGGGCTGGGCCGGGCTTCGGGCCCGGGTTAGAAATGACAGCTCTACTCCATAGGCTTTTGTCAAAAAATGTGTGTAAGGGATTTGTGTGAAGGACAACATTCTGGTGACTCACAGACCCAGTTCAAACCCCAGTACAGTAAATGGTAAATGGACTGTACTTATACAGCGTCTTTCTATATGATCAATATACTCAAAGCACTTTACACTACAATCTGTGCACTCATTTACCCATTCATACAGCACTCTAACGTCCGTACAAAGATTAATCAGTGCTTTATCACATTCATACAGCGATGGAACACACATCAGAGGCAATGAAGGGTTCAGTGTCTTGCCTAGGGACACTTTGCCATGTGACTGTTGGTGGAATATAACCCCCAACTCTTGCATTGAAGGATGACTGCTCTGACCACTCAGCCACAACTGTCCCAGTACTGTGCAATAATCTCACTCTAGCCTTTGCCCAAGTCTATGTTAAATGCATGTAGCTGTAAGCAACACATGGCAAATTACTGTCCATCATGGCAGAAAACCAGCTTTGGTGACAGCCCAGAAGGGGTTCTGTAAAAGTCAAAGTAAGATGCAAAGTAGCAGTCATGTTTGGTTTGCAACTTCTTTTTATGTTTGCCTTCTTTACAAGCTCTTTAGGTTTGAAAAAAAATGAACCAAACATTCTACTTAAAACTCCCGTTTATTACAGAGGCCATAAATAATGGACTGAAAAGTATAGAAGAGAGTAAGACAGACATACACAGAAAACAAGAAGTGTTTACATGGACATCTAGTCAACCAACCACCTGGTAAACATGATAGAGATCAGGCAGGATGAGCAGTGTAAGATGACGGATGGAAAACAGCTTATAATGCAGACTCACTCAGCTGTGATTTCTGTGACAAGCGGCAAAGAGGTGAATCCCGAGCCAATAAAAGAGTCTCTATATTGGGTCATCTTCAGCGCAGCCAGCCAGTCTTCCACTGAGCTCACCCTACTCAGGTCTGGAGCTGCCCGGTCTAACAAAGGATGATGATGTGAAGGACTGCAGGGAGCAGATATGAGAAGGGGTATTTTAGAATATCAGCTGTATCACTCAGAGTGTTTGGTTATGCAAATGAGTTTATATCGCTGCTCACCCAGGGGGAATGTTGTTGATGCCGGCTTTGAGAGATGCAGGGTTGCGGATCATTTTGTCCAGCATGCTGACGATATCTGGGAACTTTGGCCGCGCATTCCTGTCTTTCTGCCAACAGTCCAGCATCAGTTGGTGCAGCACTACAGGACAGTCCATGGGAGCTGGAAGTCTGAAGTCCTGCTCTATGGCATTTATCACCTGGGACACAGCAGAGGAGGGAAATCATGGAAAAAAGACTGATTAAATCTGAATTTTATCAGTATACTTAGAAAAATGACAAAAGTTACAGCTCCTTAGCTTTCATGTTGTAACATCATTCTTCAGTTGTAATATAAATATTCTAGTGCAGTGGCTATATCCCCACCGCTCAAAGCGAAAGCCTGGCAATAATTATTATAATTTTTTTTTTTTACTCTGTGTGCATTCATTCGTGTACCATTATCAAAATATCTCAACTGCTGAACAAACTTTTTTCAAACTTTATAAAATGGAAAAATTTGGTCAGATAAGCTGATTCAAGATGGTTGCTAGAGAAACGCATTCTTAGCACACACAAAAATGGCTACAACTCATCGCTATAATGCATCACTCACAACACATTCCTAGAGGGCAACACATGGTGTGACATCTTTGATTAAAACATTGACATAAGTGTTGTCTCTCTGTTAGCTAAACTTCTCATGAACTACTTGGACAGTTTTTAAAGAAACTCTTAAGGCAGACAGCTAAATGACACTAATTCACACAATAAAGGCTGTGATATACATTGAAGGAACTGAAAAAATTAACAATTTTGTTTTCGCTGCCATTTGTCGTGAGCTGAACTCAGTAATCTAATACTTTTTCTCTGTACATAAAAGGCATTTTTCTCTCAAATATTGTTCACAAATTTGTGTAAATCTGTGTCAGTGAGCAGTTCTCCTTTGCCGAGATAATCCATCCACCTCACAGCTGTGGCAGATCAAGATGCTGATTAGACAGCATGATTATTACACAGGCGTGCCATAGGCTGACCACAATAAAAGGCCACTTTAAAATGTGCAGTTTTATCACAGCACAATGCCACAGATATTGCAAATTTTGAGGGAGTGTGTAATTGGCATGCTGACTGCAGGAATGTCCACAATAGCTGTTGATCGTGAATTGAATGTTCATTTTTCTACCATAATTTGTCTCCAAAGGCGTTTCAAAGAATTTGACAGTACATCCAACTGGCCTCACAATTGCAGTCCACATTCACCCACACCAGTCCAGGACCTCCACATCCAGCATCGTCACCTCCAAGATCATCTGAGATCAGCCACCTGGACAGCTGCTGCAACAACCTGTTTGCATAACCAAAGAATTTCTGCACAGACTGTCAGAAACCGTCTCAGGGAAGCTCGTTTGCATGCTCGTCATCCTCATCGGGGTCTTCAGCTGATGGCAGTTTGTCATTGTAACCTATACGAGTGGGCAAATGCTCATATTCGATGGTGTATGGCACGTTGCAGAGGTGTTCTCTTCACGAAAGTATCCTGGTTTTCACTGTATAGGACAGGCGACAGACGAATTGCGTTGTGTGGGTGAGTGGTTGCTGATGTCAGCGTTGTGGCGACGAGGTTACTGTATGGGCATGCATATGTCATGGACAACCAACGCAGGGACTGGTTACATGTGGTCTGTGGTTGTGAGGCCGGTAGAATGTACTGCCAAATTCTCTGAACCTGGACATTCCTGCAGTCAACATGCCAATTGCACGCTCCCTCAAAACTTGCAACATCCATTAAACATCCATTTCAGGAATACTAGGCCTTTAATTATTTGTTTCATATTTTCCTCATTTCCTGTTTCATTTTAAAAACCTAACAACTATTGTTCAATGTGCTTAGTTTTTTTTTTTTTGCTTCCTGTCTGTATCACACCTGAATTACATTTTTCTAATTGTCTCAGTTATTATAAAGATTTCTGGTTTTCTCTGTTTCCTGGTTTTGTTTAGCTTTTTTCTTTATGTACCATCTCAAGTTTTTTTTTTCTTCTCTCTTGCTTACTTTTAGTTTTTCTTTTTCTTTGTTTTTAGCCATTTTATTCTGCACCTGTGTTGGCAAAAACAATCACTTTCTGAAAAATGAGAAAAATAATCAGTTTCCTATTAACTCCTTCGCATCTGATTCTGTCAGTTTTGGCAAAATTTGAAAGATGGTTTTAATTTATTTAAATGCCTTTAGAATCAAATGTTAAAATGAGGTGCAACTTCATATTCTGTCAACAATACCAGCAATTGCATCCAAAAATTACATGAAAACACAGGTGGCAGTGATTTACAGCTAAACTTATGATCGTTAGCGCCAGGTTCTACAGAGAATTTACAGAAACAGTGCATTCAGTTGGATTATCTTAAATTCAGCTGACAGATTCAAAGATGTGCCTTCTTCTCTCAGTCCCTCACTCCTCCTAGTTTTGTCTCAGATCTAAAGAATAATATTCTCTGAACTAATCCTATAAATACTCAGTTATAAACTCAGGCCTGTTTACTCGACAACAGAGTGTCATTTTCATGATCAAAGAGACGAGCAGCAACGTGCAGCCATGACAGATGAAGGAGATCACAGAGATCCACTGCTGACTCTGCACCCAGTATGCCTTTGATACGTCTGTGATCAGTTCTTAACGGCTGCAAGGCTGAAAATACACAATAAAGCCAACTATGTAAGAAAATATTTTAAATTAGACAATCCTAAAGGTACGGAGTTGATCTGATTTCATTGTTGGTTTTATGTAACGTGAATACATAATAAATGAGATAATTAACAACGCAGCCATCTTGTTCAGCTTAACATATTTGCTTTAAAACTGAAAATGTAGAACTAGTAGAAATGTTACATTTATAGTTAAGGCACATTGGTGTCACCCATCGGTGAGGGATTTGAATAGTGAATGTTTTTTAGTTTTTGAGATGAGTTTTTCTGGACTGGAATTAAACAGAGAATGCAAGTTAACCTTAATGTTTTTGGATGCAAGATTCTCCAGTGGATAGGAGTTACACAAGAACAAACGTGTATTTATATTTATTTAATTTTGCTTGTGGCACAAAGGGATGAGTGAGTAATGGGATAAAAAAAAAAAAAAAGTTGCCACCTGGATTTAATAAGCAAATAGGTACGAGCATCCTATTGAATAATTACTGCATGGGTGATTATCTTTCAGCTGGCAACAAGTTATTTAACATCAACTGATGCAATGAGTTGCTTCTCATTTCTTAAACAACCATGTCGTGGAAAAGATGTCAGTCTGTTTGAGAAGAGTCAAATCATTGGCATCAAGCAGAGAAAACATCTAAGGAGATTGAAGAAACTACTAGAATTGGTTTAAGAACTGTCCAACGCATTATTAAAAACTGGAAGGATAGAGGGGACCCATCGTCTTCGAGGAAGAAAATGTGGCCGGAAAAAAATTCTGAATGATCGTGATCGGCGATCACTTAAACGTTTGGTGAAATCAAATCGAAGAAAAACAACAGCAGAACTCAGGGTTATATTTAATAGTGAAAGTAAGAACATTTCCACACGCACAATGCGAAGGGAACTCAAGGGATTGGGACTGAACAGCTGTGTAGTCTTAAGAAAATCACTAACCAGTGAGGCTAACTGAAAAAAAAAAGCTTAAATTTGCTAGGGAGCATAACAATTGGACTCTGGAGCAATGGAAGAAGGTCATGTGGTCTGATGAGTCCAGATTTACTCTGTTCCAGAGTGATGAGTGCATCAGGGTAAGAAGAGAGGCAGGTGAAGTGATGCACCCATCATACCTAGTGCCTAGTCATCAATGCAAGATCTTGGTGAAAAATTAATGCAACACTGGATGGAAATGTGACATTGCAGAAGCTTATTGAAACAATGCCTCAGTGAATGCATGATGTAATCAAAGCTAAAGGCGGTCCATCCATCCATCCATTATCTTTTACCGGCTTCTTCCATTTTGGGTCACGGGGGTTGCCGGTGCCCTAGTCCGGCAATCATTGTGCGAGGGGCGGGGTACAGCCTGGACAGGTCGCAAGTCCATCACAGGGCCACATAGAGACAAACAACCATTCACTCTCTCACTCACACCTAGGGACAATTTAGAGTTACCAATCAGCCTAACATGCATGTTTTTGGTCTGTGGGAGGAAACCAGAGTACCCAGAGAAAACCCACGCATGCACGGAGAGAACATGCAAACTCCACCCAGAAAGGCCCTCGGACCGGGATTTGAACCGGGGACCTGCTCACTGAGAAGAAGCAGCTCTGTCAGTTGCGCCACCGTGCTGCCCTAAAGGCAGTCCAATGAAATATTAGTGCGTGACCTTTTGTTTTTCTGGTGGCAACTTTTTTTTGGCCAGGCAGTGTACATATAAAGGCGTTTTAAACCCTTCCTACACTCTTGCAATATTCTAAACAAGGTTTCTAAACGCTCTAATAGAGCACATAATGTCATGATTTCCCTCTCTCTGCCTCCGCTGCTCTCAGCCTCATGCAAGTGCTTCTGGCCACGCCCACTTCTCCACTAAGCATGGAGAACAGCTGACCAGCTGCAGAGGAAGCTTATCCTGCAGCATGGGCTGCACAAAGGTGCAGCAGGTGCGAAATAATTTAAAATAATTCATTTTAAATAAAAATTCCATGCCAATCATGCGTATCATCCATCAATCAGCCAATTGTGTGTCATGTCCAATCTTATTTTGAAAAAACGCGATAGAGCGAGTTCGCGATAAACGAACTGCAACGTAGCGAGGGACAACTGTATATGTATATGGTGGTGGCCATCTTGGATTTTCAATAATGACTTCTTATGTCTAGATGCAGCCACACACCAAAATGGAAATCGGCAGGCTGCTTATTTTTCAAATGATCTTTCAGACAGAGGAGAGTATTTTCCAGTCCCTTGTTGGCTCTGTGACAGGGCAACAATAGACTGAATGGTGCAAAGATTTGCAGCTTGAAAGGAACAGATTGGCACACATAATAGGAGATAGGTGTAAGTAAAAAAATAAAAAAAATAAAAACACAAAAAAAACATCCAGAACATGTGGCACATCATCCCTGGAGGAACTTGGCTGCAAAAAATATTCATGAGTGTGAAAGAAATGAAAATGTTGAAACTAATAATTTGTACCCACTTAGGCAGCATCCCTGGCTATTTCCATGTTCTATGTGTGTTTAAAGCAAGCAGACTCTTTTT